CGATACTGCGCGGGCCAGCGGGAAAGTCTCGGAGCTGCTGTGCAACATTCTGCCAACCATCCAGGGCCCAGGGACACATCGAAAGCATGGGTGTGCAAGTCCACCCACAGAAAGAGCACGCTCCACATCAGACTTGAGCTTGCTCCCAACGGCATCCTCGAACTTCTGGAGTTGGCTTCGGTACTCGGATGCGCGAGCCACGCTGTCCAGGCGCTTGTTGGAAATTGAGCTGGTCAGCAGCGCCAGCGATTCCGACATCCCCTTCCCCTGGTCGAAGCGCACTTGCAGGGCCACGACTGCATCTGCGTTACCACGCGCACCTTCGTCGAGAGCAAGCCCCTGCCGAACAATCTCCCTCCTGCGTACTAGGTCGCCCGGCGCATCGGCGCGGCGCGTCATCTTGTTGGCCTTCCAGGCGCCCATGCCGAAAGGGTGCCGATTCCCGTGCTTCGCAGAGATCGCCGCCTCTTTACCTCTTTCAGCGTAGCGTGCCAACGACTCTGGACTCAAGTCCCTGCACTCGCTGTGCAGCACACTGAACCCGACCTGACGAGCGATCTGCTCGCTGAAGTACGCGCGACAAGCGCCACCACTTTTCTTACGCACGGGATCAGATTCTCTTGGCTCATCGGGATGCACGCGTGAGTCGGCATCGGCGTCGGGCTTCTCCTCGACGCTGTGAGTGGAAAACGAAAGCCCATCAACGATCTTGTGCCACCGCCGTGCATTACGGAGAACGTGTTGGCTGCTGATGAGCTCCATGTGGGCGGGGCACGTCTGCTCAGTACCTCGAATGATGCACCTTCGGACCCAGGCGCGCATGTTCTCGCGCCTCGAGTTGTCTGTATCGGCCTCGGCCCCGTGGCACAACACATCGACCAGCGCTGCTTCGCCCTCGACGTCGTCGCCGTACGTCTCGAGTAACCCAATCGTCCAGGAGTCCAGCATGCATCTCGACGTGGCCTTCAATTGTTTGCCCATGTAGGCGTGGTCCCCATTCTGGATGCTTTCGAAAGCAAGCCAATAAGTGCCCATAGGGTGTGCTAAAACCATCGAAAGTATATCTTCCACCACAACTGCACCGCTGACCGCAATCACTTTGAAAGCTGATAGGCTCGCCCCGCGCGTGATGGACCCAGGTGGGAGTGTTGACCATTGATCCACGCCCGGGCTCGACAACAAGTGGCTCTCGCTCTTCAAAAACTCATCGTCGAGCTCACCATTGACCATCGACTGAAGGTGCGGCGATGCGAGGATATCAGCGATACCAGTGGCACTGGAACTTGAAGAAACCGACAGCGCCGCCCTGACGTACTGCGTCTCCTGAGCATCCGTACTCGTCTTGTCCAGGATGCGATGCATATACGTTTGCTGGGGATCTATCAACACCGATAGGAGAAGCATCTTCTGCGGGAGTGACTTGTCACTGCATGCTCCCCAACCCTCTTTCAAGTGATGTGCCATAGCCTTGCGATCGAATGCCGCAGCGTCAGCGCCAGCCTTCTCGATGGACACGAGCGGTAAGCCAACGCAGCCACCACCTTCTTTTTTCACCCTGCTTGGGGCCCCCATTCGATGCCACGTGGCCGGTTTAAAACGAAAGGGGGGACCAGCGTTTCTTAAACATATATATATATATATATATATATATATCAACCCCGCCAAGGGTACCCCCCCCCTAGCCGTTGCCCACCCCAAAAAACTTATCTGGTGGTTGCGCGAGCTCCCGATTCGGCCCCTCCGAAACCTTTGCGGGCGCACCCGCCGAGCCACTTGGAGCATCCGCATCCGCCACGCGCCCCAGAACATCCAAGATCGTGCGGTGGTCGTCGGCACGAGGATGGGCTTCGGGCGCAACGCGTTCCTCAGCGTAGACGATGAAGGCTCGCTGCCATAGCCCGTGCACCTGCATCAAGAAGCCCATCGCTCCGATTGATTCTCGGGCCTTCGCCCACCGAGACCGTGGAAAGGCAAAGACGCCAAGCTGCATGATTGCGTTGACGAAGTGCTTGATTGCCCAGAAGCGAAGCTCGGCCTCAGAAGAATTGAAATCCGACGTGCGCGCCTCGAACACGTCTGATCTCCCCCAGCCCCCATTTGCAACTTTGAGAGCCACCGCGCGGGCCTTCTGCAGAGCAATGTTTGTGGTGGATACAGGCAGGAACACGTCTACCACAGCTTGGCGATGAAGGCGTGCGTCAAGAGGTGCCACGCCGTATTTAAACCTGAAACTGTCCGAGATGGCCCGACGTAATATTATTTTGAAATCGCTCTTGCTCCCAGGAGCCTCAAACACCTTTGCCAAATGGTATTGTGAAACCAGGACGCCGTCGAATATTGCGCCAACACTTTTCTCCTGGACGCCTTGGACCATATGCAGCCTGCATGTCCTGTGAGAGCCCTCTGTCACGGGGCCCAGTGGCCGCCCCGCTCGTGCAATGGAGCCGTCGCCGTCGGACATGCACGTGCGGTCGCACCTATTGAACAAGCTTTTCAACTCATCGAGGCCGCGGGCGTGGAGATTGGCAAGTGCCGCATAGACCTCGCCAGTGGTCCTGTCCACGCTGCTCAACGTCGTTGGCACTGCAGTTTGTAGATGAAGAAAGCGACGCGCACCTGGCCCAGGCCCATTCCCATGGCCCCTGGAAGAAATCGGCGTCTCAAAGACCGCGCCAAGTCTCAGCTCATATGCAACGATCTTCCCTGTTGGCTCAACGTCGTCCTCAACGATGCTATCCATGACGTGTATGCTGATGTTCTCCTTTTTTTTCCAATGGCCGCTCGGATGACAGGATCGTCGATCGTCGTCTCATGCGACGCTCTGTGGTGCATCGGCGTCTCGTCCATGGACGCGTGAACCGACAAGCGCAAGCACCTGCCGCCAGAGGCATTCGTAGCTGAGGCAACGGTTTTGATGGCATGAATAGCGCGCTGCCGCGCAATGTGATACACGCAAGCCGCATGAAACAAAACACGATTCATCACGACAGCATGGCGCATTGAAGGGTCAGCTGAAAGATATGTCAACGGCCTCGACACCTTAGCACACATATGCTTGTCAATGAGCTCACAGAAACTGTCACCAATGGCACCAGCAACTTGGTCAAGACCAGGCGTTAAAACAGAGCCCATCTTCTCAAGGCCATATCCGAGCTCGACGTTCTGATCCATGAGACATTGCAACGCCTCTTCCACCACGGTGTCGAGATCAGAAGTGGACGGCGCGCCCACGGCGAGGTCGAGTTGCGACGGAGGGGCCAACAGAGTTCCGTCATCAACTGCGACGGGCACCACGGCCATTGCTTGATCAAGATTGGCCCCTTGAGGGTCGTCATCCGCCCCGCCAGCCTCCGAGCCCCTAAGCGCATCTGCCAGCGCAGCGTCTAAGCTGCCAGCGGCCGCTCCAGAAACACAACTGTCAATCTCAGCATCCAAGCTGCTTGCGCCAACATCTGCAGCTCGAATATTACAAATCAGATCGTCAAGCGATTGCATTCCACAAAATGTGTCATGGTGAAGCAGGAGGAGGCCCAGATAACGTTTTAAGCAAAAACGGCAACACTGCACCACGTGAGAACATCTGTCGAACGCAAGGCAATAATGTTACATTGAGACGTCCACGTGATGTCACCCGCCAAATGAGACCATTTGTCATATGTCGAGACCAAGGGCACAAATACTCAATTGACTAGTCAACGTGCACGGCACACATGTTGTTGCTTACCCAAGATGGCTCCCCCTAGACGGCTCTCCCTAGACGGCTCCACCTAGACGACTCCCCCTAGAAGGCCCCACCAAGACGGTTCCCTAAGTCATTTGAGACGTCCACATGCACGCATTCTCCCTAGACGGCTCCCCCTAGACGGCCCCACCAAGACGGCCCCACCAAGACGGCTCCCCCTAGACTTTCCCCCTAGACGGCTCCCCCTAGACGGCTCCCCCGAGACAGCTCCCACATAGATTGCACCACGTAGGTCGCACTACATATTGCACCACATAAATTGCACCCACCACATAGGGGCGCAAACATGCTTCCAACAAATCTTCAGTCACAAACGCTCGCAACCAGTAACAATTAGATGAATTGGCAAGCAACCCCGCCATTCCCCAACGGGGACTTTCCAAAGCTGGCGAATAGCGCCCGAGGGACAGATGGGGGCCATCGGGCTTATGGGCACCAAGGGACATGTGGGGAGCAAGGGCCCTACGGGCGGGAACCAAGAGGCACTTGTGGGCCTCCATGAATCCCAAATAAGGCATTATGGTCATGATGAGCGGGGGTCCAGGGAATCGCTTCCCAAACAGTGCTGTCCAAATTACAACGGGTTTCGCGCCACGACGTCCCCGAATAGATATCCCAGAACCAAGGAATGAGGGGGGCATAGACACCATTGCATTGTTCCCGAAGCTCCCATGCTGCTGCACATCGGCAGCCCCCAATTCGAATACAATGGCCCGACTCTGGGGCTTACTGAGCCGAGAATGGCCCCCTATGATAACTACACCGAGAAACCAGAACCAACGCAAGGCACCTATTTGAAAACTATTTTAAACCTATTTTACAAAACTTACCAGAAACCTATTGTCGAGCTATTTAACTTGTATTTTGCTGTTTTCTGGAAAACACTAATCTCTGGCACAGCGCGACTACAAGCCATCCTCCCGGGCCACCCTCCCGGGCCCACCTTCCCGGGCCCACCCTCCCGGGCCACCCTCCCGGGCCACCCTCCCGGGCCACCCTCCCGGGCCCACCCTCCCGGGCCCACCCTCCCGGGCCCACCCTCCCGGGCCCACCCTCCCGGGCCACCCTCCCGAGCCCACACTCCCGGGCCACCCTCCCGTGCCCCACCCTCGGGGACCCTCCCGGGCCACCCTCCCGGGCCACCCTCCCGGGCCACCCTCCCGGGCTCTCCCGGGCCACCCTCCCGGCCCACCCTCCCGGCCGGCGCCCACCGCCGCCCACCTCCAGGGCACCCTCCCGGGCAACCCTCCGGGCCACCCTACCGGGCCCCACCCCTCCGGGCTCCACCCGCGGGGACCCTACCGGGCCACCCTCCCGGGCACACCCTCCCGGGCCACCCTCCTGGGCCCATCCTCCCGGGCCACCCTCCCGGGCCACCCTGGGCCACCCTCCCGAGCCACCCCCCCGGGCCACCAGCCACATTCCCGGGCCGCCTTCCCGGGCCACCCTCCCGGGGCCACCCCTCCCGGGCCACCCTCCAGGCCAACCCTCCCGGGCCACCCTGCCGGGGCACCACCCTCCCAGGCCACCCTCCCGGGCCCACCATTCCGGGCCACCCTCCCGGGCCACCCTCCCGGCCACCCTCCGGGCCACCCTCCCGGGCCACCCTCCCGGGCCACCCTCCCGGGCCCACCCTCGGACCACCCTCCTGGGCCACCCTCCCGGGCCACCCTCCCGGGCCACCCTCCCGGGTCACCCTCCCGGGCCCCCCTGGGGGACCCTCCCGGGCCACCCTCCCCTCGTCGTCGTCGTCGTCGTCGTCGTCGTCGTCGTCGTCGTCGTCGTCGTCGTCGTCGTCGTCGTCGTCGTCGTCGTCGGCCCTTGGAGGAGAGGGAGGCGGGGGCACCGGACGCCCCGAGAGCCCAAAACAGCCGAAAAGCCGGAGGCCGAACCTCGAACCTGGAACCTCGGTCCTCCTCCCTCGACGGCGGCGGCGACGACGACGGCGGCGGCGGCGTTTCGCGCGTTTCGGGGCCGAGCTGAGCTGAGGCCTCGTCAGAACGCTGAGCTGGGGCCCCCCTCCGGGGCCCCCGAGGCCCGCAACGGCCAGCGACGACGCCGACGACGACGACGACGACGACGACGACGACGACGACGACGACGACGACGACGGCCCCGGCGGCGACGAGGGCCCCCGGTCCGGCCCCGGACCCCCCCGGTCTGGAGAGCTCGCTGTCCACCTCCTCCCCTTCCACCTCCTTTTCTTTAGCCTGGCGGCCTCTCGCGCAGCAAGCGGGCGTCGGGTCAGCCGGATCCAAATCGAATCGCGAACCGGATCGTCGCCCGCTCTGCGCCGGATCGCAACATTGCATCGCTCGGCAACCGAATGGAATCGCGAACCGGATCGTGGCAGGGGGCCTCCAGCATCGAATCGGCATTCGCGGCGAGGCGATTCGCCGAATCGAACCGACCCGGATCGAATCTCGTGCGGACCTCTGTTGCCGCCCTGCAGGCGCAGCTCCTGCAGGCTGGGCAGGGAGGGCAGCGCCCCCGCCAGGGCCCGCGCGCCCTCGTCGCCGATGCTGTTGCCGTACAGGCGCAGCTCCTGCAGGCCGGGCAGGGGAGGGCAGCGCGCCCCCGTCGGGAAATCGTAATCGCATCGCCTGGAACCGGATCGCTGCGAACCGCAGGCGAATCGAACCGGGAACCGGATCGCGACCTCGCGGAATCGAACCGCGGACCGGATCGCGACCCTGTCGAATCGAATCGCGAGCCGGATCGTCGCCCGCTCTGCACCAGATGGCAATCGAATCGCTCGGCAACCGAATGGAATCGCGAACCGGATCGTGGCAGGGGGCCTCCAGCATCGAATCGGCATTCGCGGCGAGGCGATTCGCCGAATCGAACCGACCCGGATCGAATCTCGCGCGGACCTCTGTTGCCGCCCAGGCGCAGCTCCTGCAGGCCGGGCAGGGAGGGCAGCGCCCCCGCCAGGGCCCGCGCGCCCTCGGCGCCGATGCTGTTGACGCCCAGCCACAGCTTCTGCAGGCTGGGCAGGGAGGGCAGCGCCCCCGCCAGGGCCCGCGCGCCCTCGGCGCCGATGCTGTTGTAGTACAGGCTCAGCTCCTGCAGGCCGGGCAGGGAGGGCAGCGCCCCCGCCAGGGCCCGCGCGCCCTCGTCGCCGATGCTGTTGTCGTACAGGTTCAGCTCCTGCAGGCCGGGCAGGGGAGGGCAGCGCGCCCCCGTCGGGAAATCGTAATCGCATCGCCTGGAACCGGATCGCTGCGAACCGGATCGCGCGACGGGATCGCGGCCCCCGGACCCCCCCGGCGTGGGCACTCCCCTTCGTGGCCGTCCTCCCTCCATCCCTCCTTCCCCCTCTCTCCCTCCCCCTCCCTCCTCCTCCTCGGGACCCTCGGAGACCCTCCCGAACCCACCCCCCGGGCCACCCTCCCGGGCCCACCCTCGGGAACCCTCCCGGGCCCACCCTCCCGGGCCCCCCTGGAACACCCTCCCGGGCCACCATCCCGGGCCCACCCTCCCGCGGGCCACCCTCCCGGGCCACCCGCCCGAGTCCCCCGAACCCTCACGGGTCACCCTCCCGGGCCATCCTCCCGGGCCCACCCTCCCGGGCCACCCTCCCGAGCCACGCTCCTGGGCCACCCTCCCCTTCCCTCCTCCTCCTCCTCTCGTTGCGCTTGCGCGGGCTCGCCCTCGGGGACCCTCGGGGGCCCTCCCGGGCCACCCTCCCGGGTTCCCCTCCGCCCTCGAGGACCCTCCCGGGCCACCCTCCCGGGCCACCCTCCCGGGCCCCACCGGGCCACCCTCCCGGGCCCACCCTCCCGGGCCCACCTTCCCGGGCCACCTTCCCGGGCCCACCCTCCCGGGCCCACCCTCCCGGGCCCACCCTCCTGGGCCACCTTCCCAGGCCACCCTCCCGGGCCTCTCCCGGGCCCACCCTCCGGGGCCACCCTCCCGGGCCCACCCTCCCAGGCCACCCTCCCGGGCCACCCTCCCGGGCCACCCTCCCGGGCCCCACCTCCCGGGCCACCCTCCCGGGCTACCCTCCCGGGCCACCCTCCCGGGCCACCCTCCCGGGCCACCCTCCCGGGCCCACCCACCCGGGCCACCCTCCCGGGCCACCCTCCCGGGCCACCCTGGAAGCATCTTGGTTTACGTTAACTTAGTTACTTACTAAGTTGTTACAAGCATACGTTAAACATGTATAAGCACAACATCAACCACTAGAAGTTTTCATAACCTGTTACCGCATAGACCACCCTTCGGGTGATAAGGACGCGAGGGGGGGGAGGGACCACCGTCGCACTCGATCGATCTCACTATCGATCTCATTATCGATCTCGCTATCGATTCGATCAATCTCACAATCGATCTGGCTATCGATCTCACACTCGATCTCACTAACGAAATAGCTATCGATATCACAATCGATCTCACCAGAGATCTGGCAATCGATCTGGCTATCGATCTCGCGATCGATCTCACATTCGGTCTCACGATCGATCTCACTTCCGAAATCACGATCGATCTCATTCGATCGATCTCACAATCGATTTCACATTCGATCTCACTATCGGTCTCACTATCGATATCACAATCGAGCTCACAATCGATCTCACAATCGATCTGACTATCGATGTCACTGTCGAACTCACTACCGAAGACATGATCGACCTCTCGTTCGATCTCACTATCGATCTCACTATCGACATGACAATCAATATCACAATCGATCTCACATTCGGTATCACTATCGATCTCGCTATTGAACTCACTATCGATCTCACGATCGATCTCACACTGGGTCTCACTATCGACCTCACTATCGATATCACAATCGATCTCACAATCGATCTCACATTCGGTCTCACTATCGATCTCACTACCGAACTCACCATCATCACCACCATCATCGTCACCATCATCATCATCGTTGTCAACATCATCATCATCGCCATCATCATCATCATCATCATCATCATCATCATCAGCATCATCATCATCATCATCATCATCATCATCATCATCATCATCATCACCGACGGGACACCGACGGGACACCGGCGGGACACCGCGAGGCCCCGGCCGCCCGGAAGGGAATCATTTGGTCCAGCCGCGCCTCAGCCACGCGGGACACCAGCGGGACACCGGCGGGACATCGCGGGGCCCCGGCCGCCCGGAAGGGAAGCATTTGGTCCGGCCGCGCCTCAGCCACAGGAGACTTTCTCTCGCCCGCCCACGCAGCTTCGCCTCGCCCGCGCGCACGGCACGCACGGACACGAAACCGAGATCGATTTCCCGGTAGGGGGGCTCTCCCTTCCACTTCGATCTCACACCCCCACCTCCGATCACAATCGATCTCGCATTCAGCCTCACTATCGATCTCTCTATCGAACTCACTTTCGATCTCATTATCGATCTCACTATCGATCTCACAACCGAACTCACAACCGATCCCACATTCGGTCTCATCATCGATCTCACTACCGAAATCACTATCGATCTCATTACTGATAGTGATCTCACTACTAACTCAATCGATCGATCTCACAATCGATCTGACGATCGATCTCACAATAGATTCCACAATCGATCTCACATTCGGTATCACTATCGATCTCACTATCGATATCACAACCGATCTCACAATCGATGTCCCATTCGGTTTCACAATTGATTTCACAATCGATCTCATTATCGGTCTCACATTCGGTCTCACAATCGATCTCACAATCGATCTCACAAGCGATCTGACATTCGATCTCACGTTCGATCTCACAATCGATATCACTACCGATCTCACTATCGACCATCAAAATAAAACATCAACATCGTCATCATCATCACCATCATCCTCATCATCAATATCATCATCATAATAGGGACACCGACGGGGCACCGGCGGGACACCGCGAGGCCCCCGGCCGCCCGGAAGGGAGTCATTTGGTCCGGCCGCGCCTCGGCCACACGGGACACCAGCGGGACACCGGCGGGACACCGCGGGCCCCCGGCCGCCCGGAAGGGAGTCATTTGGTCCGGCCGCGCCTCAGCCACAGGAGACTTTCTCTCGCCCGCCCACGCAGCTTCGCCTCGCCCGCGCGCACGGCACGCACGAACACGAAATCGAAATCGATTTCCCGGTAAAGGGGGCTCTCCGTTCCACTTCGATCTCACACCCCCTCACCTCCGATAGCGCACGCATAAATACTTAACACAGCCAGCTAACGTTTAGGGTGATTTACGGCTCGTCAAGATACTGTAGGTGTGTCTTAACATCGCTACTAAGAGTTACGGTTGTTTTAGTAAGTATGCGCCTAACGCGAGCTAACCAAGCTAAGCCATGTTAACTCATGTTAATCCGTTGAGCTAACCCAAGTTAAAGTTTAAGACAGCTCAGCCAACGTTAGCTAACGCGTCATAAGGACAATCTAAGTTTTAATATGGTTTAGCATGATTAAACAAAGTTTAACTTAGTTTTAACATGTTTTAACATACGCTAACATGATTTAGCTAACACTTAACATGAGTTAACATGAGTTAGATAACCCTTTAACATATTTAAAGATAGTTTAGCTAAGCCTTTGTAAGATCAGCTGTCATTGTTTTACGCATCGGTGTTGTGTATGATTGTCAGGTCATGGTATGCTACAGAAGCGGTTGTCTCATGTGTTTTCCTGTTGGTTGCCTACTCGTGTTGTTCCGCATGTATGTTTTTGCGTTTGCGTGTGATTGGTTCGATGCATTTTGTTTTGATTTTTTTCTGCGGGTTGACTTGTGTTGGTTCGAACACGATGTGGGTCCGCAGTGGTTTCTCGTGAAATCGGAGCGGTCTCTAAGTTGAAGCCGCTGAGTTTGCCATGTAGGTTTGCATGTTGTGCTTCGACCATGATGTCTTACATTCATTGTTTCCCCATCTGTTTTGCATGCGATCTAAGGGGGATCACGCGCTACATGTATTGTTTTTCTTTTTTTTGCATGTGGTATTGCGACGCTCGTGTGCCGCAAAATGGTATTCAGATTATGGCGCGTTAACAGTCTAAAATGTTTTTTTTTTGTTTTTTTTTGTTTCCTCTCTCTCTCTCTCTCTCTCTATATATATATATATATTCGAGCGTTCTTGAGACCGTGGTGAGTTGCAATTATGGCTTTCTCGCGTGTTTTCTTCAGTGTGTTTCAAGCGCGCTGCATGCGGCATTGTGACCTTTTGCTTTGCACGCGGCGTCCCGACCATGATGTGTTACATAATGTTATCGTATTTCGGGTGGGAAGCTTGACCGGTGCATGCGTTGTCATTGGTTGTGCGTGCGGTGGTGCGATCATGATGTTATGCACGGTTCGTTTTTTCGTTGCGAGGTTGCCTCCCCCGATCAAGATCTTATCGGGTTCGCGGGTGGTGATTCAATCGCGGGTTAGCGGGTGGTGCGGTTTGAGATGCACACGCCCTTGTTTTTTTCATGTGTTCGTCGCTGTTGTGTTGTGGTCATGCGTGTCGTGATGCGCCATTGAATTGGGCGTCCTGCGAGCTGCAGCCTCGCCGGTGCAAGCCCGCCCCCCGAGCTGCAGCCTCGGGCCCCTTTCGGCTGGGAGCGATGTCCGCTCCGCCGATTGCACCTCCAGGCGCAGCCGCGCGGGCGCCGCCGCCCGCCTCCAAGTCGGCGTTCGTCGCCGCGCATGGCGGCTCGGAGGTCGTCGCCAAGGCGAGCGGTTTTCCACCGCCACCCTCCGCGCGGCGCGCGGGGGTGCATCCCATTGAGGTCGCGGAGCTGCCGCCGACCGCGCCCGCCGCGAAGCGGATGCGCCGCGACGCCGACTACGCGGCGGAGAGGGCGGCAGCGACGCGCCCGCAGATGCGGCACGCGACGAGCGACGACGAGAAGGAGGCTGGTCAGCTGACGCCGCGCAGGTCGCGGTGGGCGGACGAGCCGTGGTTCCCGCTCGTAATTCCAGTGCGCTGGGATTACGAGTGCTCCCTCGCGCACGCGCGGCAGGCGTCGTCGTCGTCGTCGTCGCCGTCGTCGCCGTCGTCGCCGTAGTCGAGGCGCGGGTGTTCTCGAAGCTCGCGTTCGAGCGGTTCGCGCATATATGCGCGAGGCGGGCCATGGCGAGGCCGTCGAGCGGGTCGTGGCGGCCAACGATGAGAAGTGGCAGGAATGGGTCGGCAAGGCGAGTCGTCGTCGCCGTCGTCGTCGCCACCGTCGTCGTCGTCGCCGCAGGTACAATTGCACCACTTGTCCGATTGGCCGGTCGGGTTGCGCCGGCGCGAGGACCGTGTGTAGACGCGGCGTCGCGAAGAGGCGACCGCGGCGATCGGTTCGGTTTTTAAAAAAGAGGGACGAGGAGGATGG